TATACGCCCGATGCCTGGGTGACATAAAAATTTCCACAGTCATCTACAAATAGCGCATTCGCTTGACTGTTCACTGGAAGAGTTCCTACTGTTACACCGGTCCCGCCACCTGGGGGGTATTTTTGTATTCGGTTATTATTGGTATTGTGTTGATCGTATATTAGACCATCATTTTTACAACTAACATCCTCCTTCCGCAATATTGTTGTCAAAAATAATAATAATAAAATAAAATATTATTTATTGTATTGATGAAGAGTACGTTAACTAGGAAAAATTAACAACGGACTAAATTCGAATAAACGAAAGAGATTATTGGTCTAATGTGTAACTTCTTTGAATAGTCTTTCAAATTTTTGGTATTAGTTTCCTCTGATGCAAAGAAAAACAAATGTTTCTATGTGCTCGCTTGGAGCGGAAATCTAGTGATCTTGATTTTGTTGAAGCAAGAATCAAGCGGTTATAGAGCCGTTTGCTGCAGCAATCAAGATTTCTAACGTCAGATACGCGGGTAAAATCAAGCGTTTCCGGCTTTTCTCACACTAATGAGAGTTATGCGTATGTTTTCCAAAATTTGGAAAAAAATGAAAGAAACTAAAAGTTCCCCAATTCATTGGTGTACGAAGTACGAGATATCCGCTTCCCCGTTATACAAAAACAAGAAAAATGGATTTTGAGTCTTTAATCATTCGCGGAGCGCTTCGAATACTAAGATGTATTGTACTTTCTAACTCGATAGTAGCAAAAGACCAAAGCAATTTTGTTTACTCGCAATATTCTGATGTGAAATCTAAAAACATTTCTATATATCAACATCATTGGCCGTCTCTTTATTTGTTAAGTGGATGATGTAAATGTGAATGACTCCTATCAAGTACATAAATATTACCCTGTCGATCAAGTTTAACATCTACCGGTGCGGTTAGCCTGTCTGATCCGTTTCCAGGAACGTTAAATTTGCCAATAATTGTTATTCCAACACTAGAGTTTGGCCATACTTGAATACGATGCACTGCGTGGTCTGCTACATATACTGCGCCGGAACAATCGACAGAAATACCAAATATAATTTGAGGATCATCGTATCCGCCTGGTGTACCCGTTACGGATGTGCCGCCTGGATACTTTAGCACTCTGCCACCAACCGCTACATAAATATTTGAGTAGTGGTCGACAGTAACACCCCAAGGATTTAATAGTTGTGATGCTATTACGTTATATGGAATAGCAACATTAAGGAGTTGACCGGTTAGAGGTGCCTGGTGAGCAGTATATGCTTTCCCAGTTAAAGTGTCTACAGCTACATTTCTAAGAGTACTCGAACCCTGGCCGATGATTGTCCCGGCCGAGTTCCATGTGCCAGTGGGACAAATTGTTGGTAACACTACTACAAAGTTAGACGATGCATAGTCAAAATCGAAGTTAATGAGTGGTTCAGAAGAAATGAGTCACTGAGTATTACTGCAATATCTCTGGCAATTTTCATTGCCAAGACTCGAACTTCGTTGTTAGGAGATTCCCCGTTTAATTCTCTGCAAAAACTATATTGAACATTTTTTACACATGATGTAAATAAAGGAATATGGATGAATCACTGCAAAGGTTCAGTCGCCATTACTTTGTAATTCAAAAATTTACGTAAAAACATTTATTTTGAAGTCAGTGCTATGCATAAAAAGCAAAACCAGAATGTATGCTCTGGTGCTCTGGCTCCAAAATGTTCGATTTTCACCGATTTATAAAAGTTTTTTCATGTGCGCCAAAACTGAGGTTTTAGGCCGATGATTTTTGATAAAATCGATAAAAGAAGAGGCATTTTCTCACAACCAGCTACAGTGATGACAAGTTTTACGTTTTACCAATTGATAATTGATAGAGCTTTTCAAAGCTACAAAATGGTCATTTTCTGTTATCTTATATTGCAAGTTATAAAGGACTAAAGTTTAAAAGCTATTTTTCAGGCTGCAAAGCAATGGGAACAGAAGCTTCGCACTGTTTCATCCATATTCCTTTATTTATACCATGTATAAACAGTGTTCAATATAGTTTGGTTAGTAAAAGTACATGCTATATTGGTACATACTATATTGTTTAGTAAAAGTCAACGAATATAACTGACATTACGTGCTGGAAATATTCCTGACTCGGTACTGTCTGAAAACAACGTTTAGAAGCATTTTTACGGTTAAGCAGACCAAAAATTCAGAAATGTGGTAATTAATACAGTAGCTAATTTAAATCACATTTTAATAAAACAATTTAGTTCGGCGTTTCGAAATTATTTTTATCGTTATCAAGAGCAAAACTTGTCAACAAATATATAAATATAAGAATAGAGTTGGAACTACGACTTCTTACACATGTGCTAATATATACTAGACTGTGTCATACAACAGTCTCATACCTGCAGTTGACTCAACCTACTTCTAAAATTTCAAAAAACATTCCGATCTTACCCGGACATGATTGGCTTGTAGATGCTAGAAAATGTGCAAATGCATCTTACGCTGTGATATGGAGACAACTTCTTCATTTACAGCATCCATATCTATCACAGAAAGATAGATATGATGAGAATGATAGATGACAGTTTGCATAAAATGTGTGAATAAAAAACTCTTGAACTTTTGCACTTTTTGAGAGTAACTACTATCCACCCCAAAATACAGGACCGGTGGGCATTTTTTGAATAATTTTTGATAAGAATGAGATAGAGACCTGCGATTTTCGCTGTTCAATAGCCAAGACTTGAGCAGAACTTTTCACAAGCGGAAACAACTTTTGAAAAAATTCAAGAGATCGAGTTTCCAGAGGATCTTTCGAAAACCAGCTCCGTTCTCAGAAAACTAACATACAACGTTAGTATTTTTTTTGCATGCATAGATAGTCCGGACGTTACTCTACAAAATTATGCAACTCCCGACTCTCCAGCTATCGTCGTTCGGGCAGGGCTCGCTTTCTTCTCCTTTCGTTTTTGTGCAGAAATGAATATAACTTCGCCAGAGGCATTGTTATGAAAAACCGTTTTTTCGCCTGTTACTAGCAAAAATTAAAATCCTTATATCTTGATCAAATCTCATGCTGACTCAAGGAAATTTTCAGGAAAGGCTTAAAAGGTGCCATATGTTGTTGGCCACGCCGAAAAAGTGGTCCAGCAGAATACTAATGCGCTGAAGTTTTTCAGAAGGTTTCTGGAAAACCTTAAGCCAATGCCCACCTCACATTCACCTTTTTCGTCTTCGATTATGCTTTATGAGCTGTCCTGAGCGTTTGCCGAAAATTTCCTTGAGTCAGCATGAGATTTGATCGAGACACAAGGATTTTAATTTTTGCTAGTAACAGGCGAAAAATTGGTTTTTCACAACAATGCCTCTGGCGAAGTTATATTCATTTCTACACAAAAACAAATGTTGCCACTATGCTCAGCGTAGTCGATTAGTCCATGTCGATAGTCCATGGCATTTTGAGATTCCCAGAGATGTTTGCTCAGAGACAGACACGTGATCAGGGAAAGCGAGCCCTGTCAGAACAACGATAGCTAGAGAGCCGGGAGTTGCATAATTTTGTAGAGTAACGTCCGGACTATCTACGCATGCAAAAAATACTAACATTGTATGTTAGTTTTCTGAGAACGGAGCTGGTTTTCGAAAGATCCTCTGGAAACTCGATCTCTTGAATTTTTTCAAAAGTTGTTTCCGCTTGTGAAACGTTCTGCTCAGTCTTGGCTATTGAACAGCGACAATCGTAGGTCTCTATCTCATTCTTATCAAAAGTTATTCAAAAAATGCCCACTAGCCCTGTATTTTGGGATGGACAGTAGTAACTTATTACTAGGACAAAAGAAGAAAAAATTTCGTTCTTTCACATTCAGAAATAGAGCCTCTGAACCTTTTTCTTTGTGTGACACCATTCCACGCCCAGGTCACTGACGCTGAATGACTTTGCGAAAATGTGCTCAAATATTCACTTGGAACCTGTGCAGATTCGTACAGTTAGCACTCATTTCGTTCGTCAGATGTCGCCATCACTACGACTCTACTCGTTCAATAAATAAACTTACAGTCATCTTGAACAAGCGAACAAATGTCAAGATACAAAAGTGCTTCAGCTAAAAAGATACACATTCGTCTTACTTGATATTGGTGCTGTGGTAGACTGTGGCGCTTGTGTGCTTTGACCCGCTTGAATGCATGGAGCTAGTGATATATCATCAATAACAAAATCATTTCC